TCCAAATGTGGCTCTATTGTGAGTCTGCTTTTTATTTGGATAATTAATATAACCATTTTTGGACACTAAGTTAGTGGTTGGTCGGTGATGTTTAAATTGATACATTGTGTAACGTGGTATTTTAATTCACATAATTATATTAATTAATGATTAATTTAATTATTAAATTGTAAATCATTTTGGAATAATGTTATATTTGTTTAATTAATTTCATATTATTAATTATGATTTAATTATATGAACTGATATCCTTATGATCTACAAACATGATCTATGGTTGTGGTATTTATTATATATCTGATTTATCTATTGTGGATGAGATTAATGTTTGTGTGGGATGTGATCATTAAGATAGCTAATAAGTTAGACTCGTTGATATTGTACGTTATTGTTGGAAATGGCTTTGATATTGGATGAGTAGGTGGACTGACTAATAAGTCTAAACACGCTACGTTGTACCATTGTTAGATATGGTATTTATTCATAGATATTATATATATATATATATACATATATATATATGGGAGCCATAATACGAGCTTGAGGTCTCGAGATCTATGGTTAGATACGAGGCGTATATTGCCGGATTTGGATGGGTAGCTGGAGTAGGAGATGTGTGTGCGCTTGTAGATGACGGCATTCATGACCACTTTGTGTGCGCCTTGCATGATGCCTACTACACGGTTGAGGCCGCCCTATGTATAGTGAGAGTCCTAGTATGTATTTATATATATATTGACTATATAGATATAGCATGAGTTTGGCTAGGGATACATTGATTTTTAGTTCTTTGATTGGGTTGTAGTAGAGAGGGCTTGCTCGTGGATTTAACCCACAATTTATTTTTTAGGTCCACGTCAGTTCCAGACTTAGAGGTTGTTCATGCTGATCAGAGACTTGTCTACTTCACTCTTCCAATTCTACGTAAGATTCTACTTTGTGTTTCAGTCTTTGAATTTGGTTTTATTTCAGTTATTATTTCAGTTGAGATTTTATTAGGGGTCTACATTATGGATTCTCGAGTTGTAATCTAGATGGTTACTGATATCAGAGGATTTGGATTATTTAATGGAGGATTTATTTTATTGGATTATTATTGGAGGATTTATTATTTAGTTTTCTTTTCAGCGATATTTATTTATTTTATTATTATTCCTCTTGTATTTTGTGTTCGTTTATTATTTTAATTGTTTGATATCCCTCGGTTTGGTTCACGAACCTGGTCGACCCGTGTTTTGGAATCAAGGGGTATCACAATTTCTCTTCCATATTTTCCACTTTGATCATTCTTAATTACTTTGTCAACTTGTTCCAAAAAGGGGGAGAAAATCTGAAAAACAAAAAAAAATTGGAAAGTTTTTATAAATTATTTTATTAAACTTTCACTGTTAGTTTTACTTGATCAATGTGCAGGAAATTAGGTAAAATTTAGTCCAAAAGAAGAAGAGAACAGAGAAGAAAAATTCCCTGTCCTTGACAAATTGTAATCTATTATTTTTCTGCTTGGATAGGTTATATTTGTTTTTAAGGTTTTGTCACGAAATTGTCAAATAGGGAGATTGTGAGATATAATTTTTGTAATTGGTAAATTTTGATGTCAAAACAAGTTTGTTCGAGTTGTAATTTCATGTTACCATATCAAGATCGAGATCGGCTGCGGAATTGGAAGGTTGTTCATACTGAGATTTATGAACAAGGAAAGAACAACACTTTAGGAAGTTATTTCCCATTTAGGACACTATATATACTATGTATGTTCATTTAAAGTATCCTATTCTTCAAGTTGCCAAAACAGAAGTTTTTGATCATTTCATTCAGTTCTGTCAAGTGGGAACCAATTCAAGAACCTTAGCTTTGAAGAATACATTCTGTCATTCGGAAACCGGTTCCAAAGGTGGCTACCAGTACCAACTGCTGATACAGTTTAGGATTCCAGTTTCCTTTTTTGTCTAAAACTTCCTAGTTGGTTTAGAGTGATACCAAAAGTCCTATGCACGAAATTCTCTTTTCTTATGCATGATTAGGTCTTTGAATATTCTATATAAACCTTGATATTCAGCTAGGTTTATACGGCTTTTCCATTACAACTTCATATTTCTTAAAAGCCTTAGAAAGATATTTTTTTGCAGAAAATCAAAGTTGATTTTTCTGTCATTCTTTCTAAAACACATAAATAAACACAAGAGTGAGTTTAGAGTGTTGTTCAAATCCTGATCGTGGTTATAGTCTTACATCTACAATGATTAGAAAAGCAGATCTATTACTTCTTCTACAAATTTAGATATTGAAGAATAGAAGTAAAGCGATCAAACTTTGAAAGGGTCAAAGTATTCGAGGAGTGTTGTTTGATCTACCAGCAATCTTTCTACAGGGATCAAGAGCAAGTCTGAGGTCAAGAGTTATTGGATGAGATGTCGCAAAGCCAAATGATTGTCAACTATTGGTGTTTGGTAGAACGATAGGGTATGAGCCTGAGCCAAAGTTCATTGTATTTTGTTTTAAACATAGTTGATCGGTTTACTTTGGATTGCACAGTCCACGAGGTTTTTCCCGCACAAATAGTTAGTCTATTTTACCAATTGGGGTTTACTCGCTAAAAATCCTGATATCATCTCTAACTCTATTACTTTAGTTTATTTTATCTTACATGAGATTAATTGATTATTGCGAAAATAAGTAAAGTTAGTAAGACATAGATCTATTTTCAAAATACTAAACTTTCTAATCTTCCCCCCGCATAAACTCACAAAGAATAATTGAGGACATGTTAGGAAAGAAAATCAGTAAAGGCAAACAGTCAAATTGTACCAATGGTAAGATCTAAATATATGTATTTTTTCCGTACTTACTAGTAGATTTAAGTTGTTATAAATGTGTCACGATTGAGTTGTTCTTTGTTGCTTTCTCAATTATCCATAATAGTTTGTATTTTGTATTTGCTATTTGTTCGATTTCTCTATCCCTCTTATTTTAATTTCTTGCTTTTCTCTTTTTTTAATTAATTATCACGTCACTTGTAATCTCTCTCTCTCTCTCTCTCTGTGGACTGCTGGTTCTGTATATGATGGGGTTTGGATTTAGTGAGTGATAAATAGTTACAAGCATGTAAAACTGATCTTTTAGAACTATGAAGCAGATTCATTGAAATGAAAGAAGGTCTGTCTGTTTTTCATTCCTCTGGTCTCTTCTTTGATGATTTTGTGTGTATCTGTGCATGTTCTATATGCAACCGGTGCCCCTTCGTTGACTTAACAATTTATCATGATCACTTGGCCGGCTAATTTGATTTCAGAAATTTTAATTTATCGCAATTCATTGAAAGGAACAAGTGCCTGAACTTTGATTTTTCTAAAAAAATTTAAGTCACTACCAACTTCGATTTATTTATTTTTTTAATTTCATATTTGCTAGAATAATTGACAAGAAAATAATGTGGAAAAGCAAAATTCACTATAAAAAAGGTTAAGGAGCATTGATATTTCGGAACCCACTTCTCTATCATGCAATCTAAATAGATTGCAGTCTTACAAAAAATCTGCAAAATGTTGTGATTGCATGGCAAGGATGATCAAATAATTGAGAGGTTCCGGAATTGTAAATTTTCTCATGTTTTACTAACCATGGGAGATAATTGAACATTATATATATATATATATATATATATATACACACACACACTGTACAACATACGAGGGGCAAATCACACGGGCCTACATCAAAATGCCCACAAGCCCAAAGGCAAAGATAAAGCGTTAAAGTCCATACAACAGTCTTCGGGCCCAACCTCAAACGAACTACAAGCAAGAAGGGGCTCCTTTCAAGGGGATCAAAGAAGGACCAGGAAAGGCTCCAAGTGGCAACGATGGCTTTAGCAAGATGATGATGATCTTGTCAATGATGATGTTAAGGGTGGTCAAATGTGATGCACAAAGCAGGCCAATGTATTCATTGATTCTTTCTTCCTCGTAGTTTAAACTTTAATTTCAATTCCATGGAATTCAGCATAGATGATTTGTGCGTGTGTTCTCTATGTGTAATCTATTTTATGCAATGGTGGCCCCTTCCTTGACTTGGCAATATCTTTCTTTAGATGAACATGCCTTTCAAATTCTTGAATTTAATATGACATACCTCGATTTGTCACCAAACCATTTAATTGGTCTAATAACTGAATTTATTCACCAATGTGGGCAAAACTTGAATATCTTAATCTGAGTGATAATTTATATGTAAATGCATCCAACTTTTCACTTAAGTTGTCTAGCCTTACTTAGTGAAAAACCAACATGGTTGGTAAACATCAGGATATCAATATAAAAAGAGGAAAAAATCGAGGAACAATAGCTGAGGACATGCTAGGAAAATAAATCAGTAAAAATAAATTGTCAAACTGTACCAATAGATCTAAATATTTGTATTTTTTTGTTTTTTGTTTTTCTTTTTCGGGTAAGTACCAATAGATCTAAGTTAACATTCATATACACTTCATGTTTTTGACAAGTTGACAGTCATTGACTTTGCATTTTATTTTCTTTCGACGGCCGGACCATAGAATAGTCTTTGGCTTCTAATGTTTGTGGGTTCTATCTTGAAGCAGCATTGACAGACATAGGCCAATCCTTTGAAATAATCTTAATAACTGAAGTTTGTTAATTTTTCATAGTCTTGTTAATGTTTTGATCAGAACAAATAATCTGATTGACCTTTCAAAAAAAAAAAAAAAAAAAAACAGTAATAATTATCTGATTGTCATTTTCCATTTCTAGTTCCTAGATGATTTCTATTCATGCTAATTGAATATTGTATATAAGCAAATGAAAGCCGGCCTTTTTTTAAGTTCCTTGATTTCTCCCTATTTGTTTAAGTTCAGTCTACATTTATTCCGCATCTATCTCCAAATGTGGCTCTCTTATGAGTCTGCTTTTTATATCAAATCATCTCTCTACTCTCCCCCTATAAAAGAGTAAACCAGCAACATAACACCTTATACAGAACTAGGCATGACGACTTTTAGAAGGTGTTACATTTTTCTTACTCATATCCTTTTTCTTTCTTTATTTCCATTGAAGATCACACCATCTTCAGCAATAACAGAAGCAGAAGCACTTCTCAAATGGAAGAACAGCTTGTTGTCTTCTTCCCTCGATTCATGGTCAGTTGCCAATCTCAAAAACCTTTGCAACTGGACCGGCATTCTCTGTGACACTTCTGGATCTGTCTCCGAGATACACCTCCACGTTTCAAATATCAATGGAACACTTAACCAATTCAGTTTCACTTCTTTTCCAAATCTCGAGCATTTCGACCTCAGCTATAACAGCCTCTGTGGGCCAATTCCACCTGCTATTGGCAATCTCTCCAAGCTCACTTTCTTGAACCTGGCCGACAACTACTTCTATCACAGCATACCTCCAGAGATTGGATTGTTGACTAAGCTTCGGTACCTTGGTCTTCAGAACAACAATCTAAACGGTACCATCCCGTATCAAGTTAGTTATCTTCAACAGGTGCAGTCCTTAAGCCTTGCATTTAACTTATTAGAAACTCCAGATTGGTCAAAGTTCTCGGCTTTGCCATCATTGACATTCTTTGACTTAACATTAAATCTACTTACATTGGAATTCCCAAGTTTCTTATCTAATTGCAGGAATCTGACAACGCTCAAATTGGAAGATAATAATTTCAAAGGCCCAATACCTGAATGGGTGTTCACCAATTTAAGCAAGCTTGTAAGTCTTTTACTCAGCTATAATTCATTTCTGGGGCCATTGTCATTGAATTTTTCCAAGCTTTCTAAGCTAAGTTCTCTTTCAGTTGACAACAATGATTTCACTGGCCCAATTCCTTCTACGCTTGGCCTATGTACTGATCTCACCATCTTGTCTCTAGGATCTAATTCATTTACTGGGGCTTTGCCTTTGTCCTTGTCCAATCTGACCATGATATATGACTTGAGCGTATCCAGCAATTTTCTTTCTGGTGAGGTCTCGTCTTTTTTCTTCACTAACTGGACTGAGTTGACATATTTATTACTTCAGAACAATTCCTTCACGGGAAAAATCCCACCAGAAATTGGCTTATTGACAAAGCTCCGATACCTTTGGCTGTCTAATAATCAACTTTCTGGCTTGATCCCACATGAGATTGGGAACTTGAAAAACTTGTCAACCCTAAGCCTTTCAAAAAACCTACTCTCAGGTCCAATTCCTCCTACAATAGGGAATATGACACTTCTGTATTCTCTAGATCTCAGAACTAATCAATTGACTGGAGAGTTACCTGATACCATGTCTACACTAAATTATCTAATAACCGTCTATCTTAGCGGTAACGAAATCTCAGGCCAACTTTCACCCAAGTGGGGAGAATTTGCAAGGCTCAAATTTTTACGGCTGGATGGAAATAAAATTTCTGGTGAAATCCCAGTTCAGCTAGGAAATCTGACACAATTGACCCATCTCGTCCTGGCCTCAAATAAATTGAATGGAGATATACCATCAACTTTTTGCAACTTGAGTTCTCTTCAGATTCTTGATCTATCAAATAACAGCATGGGCAGTGTGATTCCACAATGTTTGGCAAACTTCAGTAGTGCACTCTCTGTGCTGGATCTGCGAATGAATCAATTTCACGGACCAATTCCAGCAACTTTCACAAGGTGCAATAATTTGAGGAATCTCGGCTTGAATGGCAATCAATTGGAAGGGTCGGTACCTGATACTTTGAGCAATTGTAGAAACTTGGAAGTTCTTGACCTTGGAAACAACAAGATAAGTGATACATTCCCCCATTGGGTGGAAAATCTTCCAGAGCTGCACGTTCTTGTGTTGCGGTCTAATAGATTTCGAGGTACAATAGGCACTTCCACAAGTAAACTACCCTTTCCAAAGGTGCGAATAATCGACATTTCTCACAATGAGTTCAACGGCTCGTTGTCAACAAAATATTTCAAGAATTTCAAAGCTATGATGAATGTTGATGAACATAAAGTGGGTCTAGAATACTTGGGGGACAATTATTATCGAGATTCAGTGACTGTGGTGGTGAAAGGGCTAGATCTTCAACTGGTGAGAATCCTAACCATCTTCACAACTATTGATTTATCGAGCAATAATTTCGTAGGGGAGATTCCGGACTCCATTGGAATGCTTCATTCACTTCGGTTGCTCAACTTATCTCACAACAATCTTGTAGGACATATTCCATCACCTCTAGAAAATCTGATTCTGCTTGAATCATTAGACTTCTCTTCAAACCAGCTAGTGGGAGAGATTCCTTGGCAATTGGCAAGGCTAACATTTCTTTCAATCCTGAACCTTTCTCAAAATCATCTCGTTGGACCAATTCCTCATGGTCAACAATTTGATACATTTGAAAACAATTCATACTCTGGAAACCTGGAATTATGTGGTTTGCCGTTGACAAAGAAATGTGGAGATATTGAACCACCGCAGCCACCAATATTGCCACATCAAGAAGATGATTCAGCTTTTGAAAGCGGATTAACTTGGAAAGTTGTCGTGCTGGGATATGGATGTGGGTTTTTATTTGGATTGGTTATGGGTTGTCTTGCCTTCTTAACTGAAAAACCAACATGGTTTGTAAAGATCATTGAAGGAGAAAAACTAAAAACTAGGAAAAAATGGAAGAAGAGTGGTCAAGGACGGGCTATGAATAGAAATCAGGGAGTACAAAGAATAAACTTGCACTAGTAACATACATGTTCATCGACTGTCACTAGCTAGTAAGCTGTTTAAAGTTGCTTTCTGATTTATTTGTGGTGGTTTGTATTTGCTGTCAGTTGTGCTGTGGACGATAATTGTGGAAAGTTTGAGTTTTTAAATAAAATCTGTGTCTTTCTAATTTAATTAGCTTAACTTAATTTAGCTATTAATCAATTTATCACATGCAAGATAAAATCAAAGTAAAGCAAAATAGAGTTTGAGAGATGACATTAGGATTTTTAGTGAGGAAATCCCAATTGGTAGAATAGAGCAATTGTTATAGAAAAAATTTCGTGGACTGTGCAGTCCAGAGCAAAATGATCCACTATGTTTGAAACAAAATACAATGAACTGACTCCGGCTCACACCCTGTCGTTCTACCAAAAACTAATTGCTGCCAATCCTCTCGCTTTGCAACGTCCCGTCCAACAGCTCTTGACTTCAGGTCTACTCTTGATCTCTGTAGAAGGAATGCTGGTAGATCAAATAACACTCCTCGAATGTTTTGACCCTTCCAAGGTGTGATCGCTTCACCCCTTCAAGATCTGAATTTAATATAGAAGAAATAGATCTGTTTTATTTGATCGTTGTCGATGCAATATTTAATGAACTTTGAACATGATCACGATCAGAATTGAACAACACCCTAAAATCACTCTTGTGTTTATGTGTGTGTTCAATAAATAACAGCAGAAAAATCATATTTGATTTTCTGCAAAATATCTCTTAAATAGGTTTTTAAAGAGTCAAAAGTTTTAATGCAAAAGCCATATCAACTTAGATGTAAATCAAGGTTTATATAGACTTTCAAAGACCTAGATATGCATAGGAAAAGATAAATTTTGTGCATAAGTCTTTTTGGAAAGAAGTCTATACCAAGTAGGAAGTTCAGACGGAACATGAAACAAATTACCTAAACTGTATCAACTTCTTGAACTGGCAGCCACATATGGAACCAGTTCTCAAAGGACAGAATGTTAATATTCGAAGCAAAAGTTCTTGAACTAGTACAAGAAGTAGGTACTGGTTCCCAAAGAACAATTTCAAATAGAAAGGTTTAAAACTTTTAGAAAAAATCTTATTTTGGTAACTTCGAAGAACATACCATGTATGTATAGTGTCCTAAATAGGATTCAACTTCCTCAAGTGTTGTTCATACATTTTTCGTAGCTATCAGTTTATCAAACTTAAACAACTTTTCAATTCCGTAACCGATCTCGATCTTGATTTTGAAATTTGAAAATTACAACTCGATCGGACTTGTTTTGAATCCTAAATTAGACAATTACAAAAATTATATCTCACGATCTCCTCCTTTGGCAATTCCATGACAAAACTCTAAAAACAACAAGTAATATACTAATGCAGAAAAAATAGATTACAACTTGAATGTAACACGGAATTTTTATTCTCTGTTCTATTTTCTTCTTAGATGAAAATTTCCTCAGTAGAACCTGTAGTGACCTAAACCCGAGAATCTGAATCATTAACCGGTTTCTTAACCGAATCTGAGGTCATCTAAGGGTAACACGGTCATTTTCATAGTTAGAATATGATTCATACACCTTATTAGTCTTTATAATGTCCAATAGTATCATTGAATAGGCCAAAATTGGACAACACAAGAAAAGAAAGAAAAAGAAGAAGCCAACAGAAATCAGTTAACGTGTACAGGCTACACGTCGACCGGTTCATGAAAACCGGTCGATGCCTGGGTCCTAGTCGTCGACTGGTTTGGTGTTGAACAATAACTTGGGCTACTGCCCAAAAATTTGAGATACCGGTCGATGTCTGGGATGCCACACATTGACTAGTTTTTTGCTGGGTAGATTTTAAGTCCTTTTTGTGTGTCCGGGCCATTGGCAACATCGTAGACTCGTTTGTAACATTAAAAATGACTTTAAAATGGTTTTAAAACTTGTATAAAGTGAGAAAAATGTCGCATACTTGAAAACATAGATCCTTTGTTGAAAACGCTATTGGACTCGACAGTTTTAGTTATATATGATATAATATCTTTGCTAGTGTTCAAACCCGACTCATTTAGTCAATTTTGATCCCGATCTTTAGTTTGAGATCAATTGTTCTCCATTTTGTTGGAGGGATGGAAAAAAGGATGGAGATATATTGTAGTAGGGTTTAACAAACAAACTTTTGGAAAAGTTAAGAATGTAAGTTATATATTTGTTGGTTATAACCTTCTTTATCTCTCCTCTTCTCTTTCCAATTTTCTGAGCGGATAGGAAAATACAAATGAAGAAGGGATGTTTTATCCCTCCTTGTTTCCTTTTTTATCTTTCTTTCCCTCATACCAAACGTGAATGAGTTATTTTATCTCTTCTCTCATCCATCCCTCCCTAATCCTTCCACCCAAACACACCACAAACCGTTAAGGAGACAAATTAACTATAATTTCAAATAATCTTTAATAAAAGAGTCATGTGATCAAGACTTCTAAAGCTTATTCATAAAAACATTCCTGTAAGGACATTGAATGAAAAATAGATAGAACGACTCAGCTTAGTAATAAAAATCAACATTTCCATACCAAATATACTGATAAAAATCATAAATCGGTATATCCGTACCAGCAAGAGGTCATGGTCATCCCACAAAAATAAAGGACCTAGTTCCCCTCCTACTTGGAGGGAGCATGTGCATCAAATTACACGGTTTTGGTGTATAGACACCGAATCCAATATAAATTATATGTGGGATGACATATGTGCACCAAAACAACTCAGGTCCAAAATACAACTAAGCAAGCCAGATTTTTAGAAAAAAATAGTAGTGAAAGTGTCGCAGCTATCGCTAGAAGTGAATTGTTTGGGAGCCAAAAACTCTTAGCTTCGCGGAGAAAGCGTCTTAATACATATCAATATATCATCCAGCAGTTACTCTGTTTCTCTAGTCACTTCCCAGAGCCTCGATAAAAAAGAGTTCTCCATTAGGCTTTGTTTGGGTTGATGGAATTGGAAAGAAAACAAATAAAAGGAGCGATAGTGATTTTCATGTTTGGTTTGTTAACGAAGATAGAAATAATAATAATAATGATAATAAATTAAAGAGATTTAGAAGGATAGCTTATCGTCTTAGCTCCATGAGTTTAGACTATCAATTGTTCCTCCATTCGCCACACTCCTCAAATTAGATCTTCGATGAATGAAATTCACAAGTGAGAAGGAAGTTGGTAAGTGAAGAGGGAAAACAAATCTAAAAACCATATTATATAAATATATATTGTGCAAGATGGGAGGCTAAATTTGAGCCTACCTAAAATTTATTGCAATTGTCAAACTGATTATCCAAAAACTAAAACCCAGTTTAAATTGTGTCCCCAATACTTACCATTTATTAAATTATCCAAAAACTCAAACCCATTTTAGAGTTTTGATGCCTGACCTAAAACTCCACCCTTGGGTTAATTACCTCTACTCTATAGTTAATAGCTATGGACTTCTCACACAGATACATGACATGGAGACCATGCTTGCTTCCCCATCATCATCACCATAACCCTTTATTCCTTTGTCACCACCACCACATTTCATCTTACTGTCCACTTCATGGCCATCTTCTCCAGCCAAACAGTTCCCCACCCCTCCCCCCCATGCCCTAAATTCACTACAACTGGTTCAATGAAAAATATATATATATATATGATTCAAGTATATAAGAACTTGGCCTTGGTGTCTCATTCGAATTCTCGAGTGCAAACAAAAACAAAACCAAAACCCAACCTGCACTATGAGCAGTGCTACCTAAGCCAGGGTTTAGGTTAGGGAGAGTTAGCTCGAGCCGATCTGAGTGGTGGATTTGGCCTGATTAGTATTTAATCCAGTCAAATTAGGACCTTGCACTGTTGTGGACACATGTCTGTGTATACAAAGAATGGTTAACGACCTAAAGAGTAAATGAACACAAAAAAAAAAAAATAATAAATAAATAAAAAAAGGTTAATTCCACTTATACCCTCTGACCTTTGCCCCCATATCTCACTCACACCCCCTCTATGTTTTAATACCCCCCCCCCCTCGGTTTTGGTTTACGTGGAAAATTACCCCCTGCCGTTAAACAACTAACGGTGTGTGCTGAAGTCAGCATGAGAACATTTTTAAAAGGTCAATTTTGCCATTCTAATATGTAAAATGACGTCTTTAACCTCATTCAATACAAAACTGATCCTAACAACTCATTTTCCTCCATTTTTATTTTATTTTTACCTTTTCCTCCATTTCTCAACCCGATAGAACAGATCCTAACCCCACCACTATTACCATGCAATGGATCTCCAATGACGATCGATGAAACCCACTAACCAATTCACTTCATCGACGATTCTCAAACCCAAGCACGTAACCAAAGTGGTCGTCGATATGGTTCTGGCCGACGATTTGCAGAAACCATTGAAGATCTGCAACTCCATTCCTTTCCATGTTGTGACACTCTCCGAGATTATCGCCATCATGACTCTCTTCGCCTTCTTTGTCTACTATTGAATTATGTGGCTTAAAAATTATTACAACCCAATTTGCACAAAGCTTACAAGAGAATGAAGTATATTGGCTACAGAAGTGTGATGGTGAAGCTTCCAAATTGGCTTCCAAAGGAAGCATTGAAATTCTTGGGCAGCAAGTGTCATTTGGCTTCCAAAGGAAGCTTTATAATATACTTGGACACCAAGTATTTTTTGGGCTATATATAGCCTTGCACATATTTGATGAAAGGCATCCGAAATCATCAATTGAGTGAGTTTGCATCAGTATCATTTGGAGTGAGGGAGCTTGGGTGTAACTAGGTTTTGGATGTGAGTCACTTTGCTTTGTATCTCTTTATTTTCATAGTGAAATATTGTTCTGTCTTCTCCCCATGGACGTAGACATAGTCGAACCACGTAAATTCTTGTCTCGTTTGTGTGTGTATGCGCCTATTTATTTTCTTGTCGTTAATTTTTCTCTTTGTTTTCATAAACTCTTATTCGATTCTTA